CTGCCGGGAACAGGGTGGTAAACACAAAGTGCCCTTGCCTCTTCTTACCCGGCCCGCCTTCTCCCATCCTCTGGCTCTGCAGGCTGTGCCTCCCCCGGGTGGTATAGGGTCTGTTGCTTTTCAATAACTCACTTTAGAGGTCAGCTCTGTGGGCCTCTCCTCTTTAGCAGCCCGCCCAGTCCATCCCTCTGCCCATGACTGCGCTTGTAGTCTAATCCAGTTAAATCAGTAGCATCCATTTTGGGCACTTCAGCGAAGGGGGCAACTGTGTTAAGGATTTCAGGCATCGCCTAGTGCAGAGCAGAAATTGCAGCATCAGAAGGGGAATGGGATAGAATGGCCAGCTGTCCTGTCTAGTGGATACTTGGAGCGAACAAGCTTCACCCGCTGTCCCCAGTCACTCACTTGTGGTGGCTTCGGGCTGACTGTGGACCAGGTCTCTTGTGCACATCTCCTCCGAGGCTGTCAGAATGAAGTGCAAACAAGCCCTAAAGATGAGGGTGTTGATGGGCAGGAAGAATGGGCAGAAGGCAACCCAGTCCGCCACAGGATGGTGCGCATCCCGTAAACCCTATCCCCCTGGGCTCTGGACTTGCCACCCTGGGCTGTTGTGCTGTACAGCTCATTGGCCTTCTCCTCCCCCTGCCCCCACCCATGGTGAGCGCCTGAGGTTCTCACAGCTCAGCCTCGGCTCCCCTGGACTTTTTAATTGATTATTATTGTGCATATGTGTATGTGGATATGAGGTGGGGGGTGCCACCATGTGTGTGACGGCCAGAGGGCAGCTTTGTGCAGACAGTCCTCTCTTTAACACCGTTTACATGGTTGCCAAGGATCTAACTCAGGTCATCAGGATTGCCCAGCAGGTGCCTTTACCAGCTGAGCATCTCACTGGCTCTAGCAAAGTGTCTTGATCTGGCGTTTGTGGCTATAATTGAATACCTGACGTTGACAATTTATGAAAAGGGGGGGGGTCATGAATTCACAATTGGTGAGTTGGAGTGCTAAACATCCAGTTATTGTGTGCAGGCTCTGACAAAGGCCTTCCTTGGCCCCATCACCTCACAGAACCTCACAGTAGGTTTGTGAGTAAGAGTAAGCCATCTCAGTGCAGAGACCACAGTGCTGAAGTCCCTTCCAGGGCATACAGCCACGACCTAAGAACTTAAGGTCTACCTCAGACAGGTTCTACCTTCCGGCATTGTCACACAGAGAACCAGTCTTCGAACACACAAGGCTTTGGGGACACTCTCAACTCCTATCCAAACCATAGCAGGAGGACTCTCAGGACCGATAGCCATGGAAAGGCAAGCTCACAAGCAGGAGACGGGCAGAAGGAGGGGTTGTGTTATCTGTGGCTCCAACACACCCTGGCTCTGCCTCTGCTCTGAGTTAGGGCAGCTTTCTTGAGATGGCAGTGTTTCCTCCCCCAGAACAGCTGGCAGGGGTGCACTTGCTGTATGATGTAATGCACACCATCCAGCTTCAGACCCCACACTTTCATCGCTATGTGACCAGGGGTGTCAAAGATTTGATGATTGCTAAAATAAATTCCATTCAGGGAAGGATCCCATTGTTTATTTCAAAGTCAGAAGTCGTCTGTATTAGCCGACAAGCTTGCCTTGCAGTGTGTGCACACCCACTCTGTGTCCTCCAGGTTGGTGAGCTGGCAGCTGCCTGGGGGTCGGGATGTATCTGTGATCCCAACAGAGGAGCAGAGGGCCTGTCTTTAAGGGATGGTTTCTTGGATGCAAATATATTGCTCACTGAACAACGGAGGCAGCTCTTTATGAGATGGCAGCTTATTCTTAGCAAACCTTGAACCCCCTGGTGAAACATAGCCATCATGGCAAAGGTCTCTGCTACCAACCTGGGACCTGAGCCATCAGCTCAGAGGCCAGGAGCTTTTGTAGAGCAAACTTGTCAGGCCTTGTGGAGTAGAAAACTGTGTAATAAACTGTCACTCCAGAGGGATGTGTCCCTTGCTACCACACTTGTCCATAACATCACCTGCACAATTGGCCTGGATGACAGGGTGCTTATTGCTCACTGCCCCTCCCCAGGCCACCATGACTCACATGCTACTTGTCATTATCTACTAGGACTTCCCTTTCTTAACTGCAACAGGGGCTGTGCTGGGGGGGGGGCGTAATTTGGGCCACATCAGGAAGGGCAGTATTCGAAAACCCTAGCAGTTTTAAATAACCACAAAGTTTAGGGAGCCCAGTGCATAATTTCAGCATTGCCTTTTGTGTGGGGGTTTCTGTGTCATGGATTTTTGCAAATCACCCTATGTTACACTGCAGCTGCTCGAGGTTGTAGTAGATGTGGACAGCTGACACCTGGGAAGGGGCAGGGTAAGGGACCAGGAAGGGCAGGCGGGTTGCTCTCCTCTGCCTACCCTCTCCGTACTGAGTGAGGGTGTGGGTGGGGACACACAAAAATAACCTCAGAGAGATTGGAGAGGACAGCCGACCTCAGAGCAGTCTTCCTGCATTTCTAATGTGCTAGCAAAGCACAGACAACTCTACCCACTGTGCCCTCTTTGTCCTCAACTCCCTTCCCTCCCCTGCAGCAGGACTCCACGGCCGAGCACAAGCCCCAGGCAGGTGGGATGACCGCAGGCTGCAGCTAGAGGCTGTTCTGGTCCTGCCTGCGAGTGGATTGGCTAGCTGGTTAGAATCCAGATGCCTCTGCTGTTTCTGAGACATCCTCTGAACATGCATTAAAATCCGTAGTCTGCTGGATCTCTGGTTTTTGCTGGCTACTCAGCCTAGACTACCATGTGAGTTCCAGGCCACCAAAGCAAAGCTTCATTGCTTATTTGTTTATTAGCACTAAGAATTGAACCCAGGACTTCAAACATGCTAGGTAAGTTCTCCAGCATTGGTGCAGTCTACCCCAAGGCTTCATAGACAGTGGGTCTAGGCCCCATATTAGGTCACATAACTGAATGTGGGTCATGAGAAATTAGGCAACAGCAAAAGGTGTCTCACATTCAGCAACCAAAAATTAACTGAAAATCAAATGAACAATACACCTGAGGTGTCTCCGAAAGCACTGCCATGTTATATTCTGTGACTCTGTAGCAGCCTTGACTCGAATATACCGTGTATTCACGTTGCACTGTGCATGATATCATGCCATTCACCGGTGGACCCTGAGACACCCTGTTCAGGTTTGACAGCATATGATATGAACTGCAGCATTTTCACTACGCATACAAATTTTTATGCTCTATACTCTGGAAAGAAACTGTTTATGTTCTCCAGTCCTTACTCCTCAGTGTGTATCAAATTAGTGCATCTTAGGATGTATTGTGTAAGAGAAGCAAGCACGTCCACCTCATTAGTATGCAAATGTGCTTTTATCTTTACTAAATGGTAAAATTATATGTATGAAGTGATAAAATTATATGTATATCAAAGAACTGCTTTATGCTATTTGGGGTGTTCTTGCAAGCCACAAGAGGGGTTCCGCATTTGTGTGGTGGCAGTGGCATTGCCATTGCTTGTGGATGCAGAATCCAGTGGTTTGCTTCTGCCACCTGCTTCCCAAGGCTCAAACTCGAGTCCTCAGGCATGGTGCCAGACTCCTTAACACACTGAGTCAGCTCACTGGCCCCACCGTGGTTTTAAAATATATTACTTTATGATTTATTATCAGTAAATGTCTGGTTTATAAAACCTTTTGGGGGCGTATAACAGCTCTGGAACTCACTCTGTAGACCAGACTGGCCTCGGAATCACAGAGATCTGCCTGCCTCTGCCTCTCAAGGGATGGGACTAAAGGCGTGTGCCACCAACGCCCAGATATAAATCTATTTTATATACCTGTATACCCAGGGTTGTGTAAAATATTCTCAAGTGAAAGGGGTCATGGGTAAAAAGTCTAGGAAACCTGAAGTAAAGTAAAGCATCGAGTGTAAAGAAGGGAGAGGAGCAGGACACAGAATCCCACTGCCGCTACCCAAATGTCAGAAACCTCTAGAGCTCAGGAGGATCCCTGGACCTGCCTGTCTTCTTGGGGGAAGGCCCAGTGACACTTCCCACTGTCCTTGTTTAGAGTAACAGCCAGTACTATTCTGAATAAAAATTTAAATGAATGGATAAACATAGCATATTAAAGGAACCAAGGGCCTGAGAATGGTTGATTGGTAAAGTGCTTGTCCCACTGTGGCAGCATGCTCCTGTGATCCCAGTGCTGGGTGGGTGGACAGCACCCTGGAGGTCACCAGCCAGCCATTCTAGCTAAGGTAGCAAGCTCCAGGTTTGGTGAGAGGCTCTGTCTCAGCACACAGGTGGTGTGTGATCAGTGAAAGGCCTCACAGCGCAGCTAGCCTTTTCTGCAAATATATTGAGGGATACATTTTTGTTAGAAGCAAAAGCAGTGTGGAGGTAGGGATGCTTCAAGAAGCCGAAATGATGAGGTTAAGCATGATTTTCTCACATGCATCTTTTTATTTTGTTCTCCCACCTTGCTCTGCCTTCCTGAATCTGGAGACAAGCCCCAGCCCTAAGCCCACAGTGGGTTCTGCTCTGCCCTCACTCCATCCCCACTTGGCCATCAGCATCTCTTCCAGCTCTCACTGTGAGCCTGAGTCCTGGTGGTTCCTGTATGAGAGCTAATGGTGGCAAGATGGGTTGAGCAGATATCATGGATGTTCAGGTCATGTGAAACACCCAAGTGTGTGTGAACTCCTAGATCCACTAACATCATTCTGTACACATACCTCACCAGCCTTCCTGGAAACTCACTCCTGGCAGAGATGGCTCCTTGGGGACATTACAGCAAGAGTAATTGAATGAGCTACCCAGCTACAAGCCCAGCACCAGAGAGCCTGTCCCTGATAATCCCAAGAAGATAAAGCTGCGTGACTTTCATTTTTCTTTTTTAAAAAATCTGATACAGTTAAATTGTATTCCCTGGCAACTAGCATCCATGGAGTTGTCATGGTTACAGGTGAGCAAGAGACTGAGTGGTTACTGGCTAGACTCTGAGCTCATTGAGCTGAGCATCTTAAAGACACACTCACTGTCTTCTTGTTGTGGCTGGAAAAGACCCAAAGGTGCAGAGCATTCCCAGCCAGGTCCAGCCTGCAGACAGACACACAGCAGATGTGGACAGTGGAACCTCCTCAAGCAACATCTCCATACTTCATCTGCTCATGCCAGGGAGCAGAGGACAAGTGCTTTGTGCCACTAACTCTGAAGGAAGAGACAGGTCAAGCCTCGGAAGAGCTTCTTGGTAAGAAATGAGAAGCAATGCCTCCCTCGCCTGCCAGGCTGTTATCTTACAGATCCCAGTGGGGGCCCTGGCTGCAACTCTGCACTTCCTGGGAGTCACACTGAAAAAGGCTAAAAGCAGCTACTGGGATTGCATGTCTGTCTGTCTGTCTGTCTGTCTGTACATATGTATATATGATTTTTAGCTTGGTCTGGCCTTGAACTCTCGGTCCTACAGCCTGAGCTCCTGAATGTCAGGGTTACAAACCTGTGCAACCACAGCCAACCTAGAATTAATTTTAGTGATGTATATTCAATGATGCGGTATATATAAAGCACCACATCAACATGCTGTTGCGGGGTGTCCACCAGAGAAGACTGCTAAGTCACGGGTTTAAGCTAACAGAAAGCCTTCACTGGCCAGCCAGCGACTACACTGAGTGTTCCGGATCCTTTCTTGGTGTGAGTTTTTAAGCACAGAAACCACGTACCTGGGTTCTCATACTTCAGTGAGCAAGAACAAGCTAGCCAGGAAGGGAGCTACAAAGCCCAAAGGCAAGGCTCGTACGTTTAGGGATTTCCCCAGAGCTACGGACTTTGATGGATTAGATGAGGTCTTTGTTTTCGTTCTGGCAGGTGGTGCTGTCTGTGGACCCAGTTCTATGGCCTGAATGGGGTCTCCATCATAGCGTCAGTTACTAAGGTCTGGGGCCTGCTACAATGTAATACAAAAACAAGACATTTCACATCAGTTTTTTTTCATGCTAAACCTTTGGATTGTGCTGTTTACACACCTCAGTTTGTTTTGTTTTAAGACACACTCTGTAGCCTGTGCTGGTCTAGAACTTAGTATATAGTCCAGGCTGGAGTCCTACTCGTAACAATCCTCCTGCTGCAGCCTCTTAAGTCTTGAGGTTACAAGCATGAGCCACTTTTATCTGGCTTATTTCTCAATTAACATATAATTTGTAAATGTGTTATCAATATTAAGAATATATAAAATTTACAGTTTAAAATACTGATTTATGTGCTCAGCTAAATCCAAATATTAAGTGTTTTGGACACAAAACTGTCTTAAACTTTAGATTCAGAAAAATCACATGCATCTCTCCCATCTCACTAGGCTGCCGAGGCTCTGCAGCCACCCCTGCTGGCGACGCCTGTGCTGCACAGTGGGGAGCTGGGTCCTGATTCTCAAAGTGATGTCCTTGGCCCCATGTGAAGACCCTTCCTGCATAAGGCCCTGGTGTGGCTGGTGAGCCTCACGCCTGTGGAGCCGACATGGCAAGTGTTGTCCAGGCCAAGTGTGTGGGATGATCCCCTGCATCACAACCTGGTCTCCACACATCAGGGCCATCCCAAGCATGCAGGTAGCTTCAGAGCATTAGAACACAAGGTTCTTGGGCATTCAGGGCACAAAGCAAGCTCGCCTCATTCCATTTCATACCAGTGTTGGCCCTATGGTGGAAACAGCCTCAAGACCAAAGGACACAAGGGTCAGGACTCCGCTGGCCCATGGCTTGTGTGTGTCAGTTGTTTGTAAGGTACCTAGCTTGACTCTGCCTCTGCCCACCTCATGGTCTCCTGCACTGCTCCTGTACTGGTAGCAAGGGGTACACCCAGAATGCCAGCAGCTCCCCAGGACAGTGGCATCCAGAGCATCTGGCAGCTGTTCTTCCTTCTCCTGGATCCCATAGCTCCACCACAAGCCTGATTCTGTGTTCCTGAAAATTCCCAAACCTCCTTTTTATCATATTTAAGAGGTTTGAGTAGAAAAAGGGTTGTTTTTAATAGAGCCCCATAAGTGAGAGAGCCCTCACCTAGAGAATGCCCTCATCAGATCTGGGCAGGTGGAGAGGCAATGCCTGGGCGCACGTAGTCGCTGTCCAATGTCCTGAACAAGGGCCTCGTAGAACACAGTTGCCTCTGTCATACCCGGAACACTGGTGCCTCCTGAATGGCTTCAGGTTCTGAGCCTCAAAGAAAGGAGACAGGGAGTGTGGCTGAGGCCTGGAGAGATCAAGGCAAGGCAGTATCTAGGCATAGGCAAGGGTCTTCTGGAAACTCTCCAGCAGCACCGGAAATCACAGCGAGTATAGACAAGTAGGATTGTGTGTAATTCAAAGTCTTCCTTGCAGCTAAGCAAACAACAGAGTGAAGAGAACCACAGAATAGGAGAAAGTCTTTGCCAGTTATACTGCAGAAGGGGATGATCTCTAGAATATATTTTTTAAAACTCAATTAACTCTCCAAATAATCCAATCCATAGATAAAAAATGAATCAAATAGTTTTCATAAAAAGGAGTGAAAATGGCTAATGAATGTCTGAAAAAATATTCAACATCCTTAGTCATTATTGGGGAAATGTCAATCAAAACTACACTGATATTTCACTGTCACCCTGGTCAGAGTGACATTTACCAAGAAACAACGACTGAAGCTGGGCATAATAACACACGCCTTCATCCCTAGCACCAGAGGCAGAGGCAGGTGGAGCTCTGAGTTTGAGGCCAGCCTGGGCTACAGAGTGAGTTCCAGGGCAGCCAGGATGCAGAGAACAAGAAACAAATGCAGGCAAGGAGGTGAGAGTAAAGAGCCATATGCGGTGTTGGTGGGAATGTGTGAGCTAGCACAGCCAGGACAGAAATCAGAATGGAAGCGCCTCATAAAGCAAAAGTCAGAACTACCCAGTTGTTTGTACTATTCTGAGCATATACCAGAGGGCATCTAATCAGCAAACTACAGAGATGCCAGGTTTAATACAACGTCATTCACCAGACTCACATTATGGAACCATCAGCAGGAAGGTGGACAGACAGAGGGAATATGTTGTGTGTGCACAGCAGCGATCTATCCAGCTATCACTGCAGTGGCTGCACTTTAAACTGCTAGTGACCTGGCCACTGAGGCTGGAGCCTAGGGGAATTCTGTTCCCCCCAGACAATGGCTCTGTTGCTGCCACTAAAGGTAGTTCTAACTAAATCTCTATCGTTCTAACAAAACTTGATATTCAAAGGCTTGGGTGAACACCTGTGAGCTCAGAGGGTTGGAACAGGAACTGGCTAACTTTCTCTCTTTGCTGGCGTCCTGAAAACCACTCCCTTCCACACTGCCCCAATTGACACACACACACACACACACACACACACACACACACACACACACACCTCCTTTCTGCTACTTCCTGTCAACCAGTTACTAACCCCACCTCTCTGAGCCCAGGTTAATTTTAATTAATGCAAATGCAACACATCTTTATACAGTTAACAAATACAGCATGAACAAATGTAACACACTTTTACACAGTTAAAGTAATATTCCACAGCAAAAATAAATGTAACACCTCTTTATATAGTTAAAATAATATTCTACAACAATAAAGAAGAACAAAGTTATGCCACCCACATGAAAATTAATAGGACCAGAGATCATTACATTAAGAGAAATAAACCTGACACACATCAGATGTTTCCTTTCCTATGTGGACTCTAGATTTAAACCTGATCTGAAGGTAGAAGTAGAGGACGTTCAGCAGAGAGGAACATGACGATGGAGGAACAAGGAACAGACGTGAATGTCTGGAAACATAACAAAATCCTTGATTCTGTACTATGAATACAGATAGCTAAAAAAATTAAGACAAAAGAATAAGAAAGACGACTAGAAGAAGGCTACAGAGGCTGTGGCAGGCGACCTGCTGAGGCTGCTGGGTGGGAAGTGAACGGAAGATGGACTTCTGTCCTCCCAGAATTTTCTTTTCTTCTTCTTCTTTTTTTTTTTTAAGATTTATTTATTTATTATGTATACACCATGTATGACTGCATGCCAGAAGAGGGTGCCAGATCTCATTACAGATGGTTGTGAGCCACCATGTGGTTGCTGGGAATTGAACTCAGGACCTCTGGAAGAGCAGTCAGTGCTCTTAACCTCTGAGCCATCTCTCCAGCCCCCTCCCAGAATTTTCAAATGACAAGAACTGCAAACTGCAGCCAGCCACCGCTGAAAGCCAGACACCGAGGGTGAGGAGCTGTACACCTAGAGTGTGCAAATTCCATGTGCACACGCACGAGAACAAACAAACAAATGCCAGCTCAATCACCAGTTGCCTGGCACTGGCCAGGCTCACACTTGACAGAGTCATGCCACAATGTGTCCAGTTTCCTTCAATTTATATTTTCTATCTGGGTAGAAATTGTTTGATTTTTACACCACAGTATAACAAATCATATTAAAGGTCAGAGCCCATGACTTATATGATTATTAGTGTGTAAACTTCATGTGACCGTCATTGGAGTATGCTTGTCTAGAAGGAAGATGCTCCCACCCACTCACACACGGCACATCTCTTTTTCAGATCAGAGAAAAATCCATCTATAACAGTTTGGATGTGAAATGTCTGTCACAGGCTCATGTGTCTGTACATCTGTCTCCCGGCTGGTGGCACTGTTTGGGAGGTCACTGAGCTTTTAGGAGGGGGAACCTCGTACGAGGAAGTGGGTTCTGGGGGGGGGCAGGTTGTGAGGGCTGCAGCCCCACCTGACTCCCGCATCTCCCTGATCCACTCAGGTGTGAAGCAGCTTCTCCTCCCTCTGTACCAGGACGGGCTGTTCCCTCAACCCGCGAGCCGTGCTGACGGCCTGTTCCCTCAAACCGCGAGCCGTGCCGGCGCCTTCCTCCATGCTAGCTCTTATCAGGCCACAGCTCAGGCCACAGCGAAAAGAAAAGTGGCTGATTCACCGTCTGACAGCAAGTGGAGGGCGGTGAGCCAGGAAGAGATTGTTAACCGGACTCAAGGGAAATTAGATGCCTTAAAGTCGTTGTGCTAGTCCTTGTTTCAAAGAAAAGGTCTCCTCTTCTATTGTGTGTACATGTACTGTGTTTGTGCATGTGTGTGCCTGGGAACACATAAACAAGTGGGCACCTGCGTGTGGAGGCTGGGGCTGCCATCAGGTGTTTTTGGTTGTTTTTGCTTTGGGGGGGGGGGCTGCCACCCAGCTCCCAAATAAATCACACATGGAGGCCTATTCTTTTTTTTTTTTCAGACAGAATTGTTATGTTTTATAGGGCATTATATCACCCTGAATTTTTTCTTTCCATTTTTCTTTATTAAGAAATTTTCTACTCACTCTACATACCACAGATCCCCCCTCCTCCCTCCTCCCTCCTCCCACCTCTAGCCCTCCCTCCCAAGCCACCCCGTATGCCCACATCCCCCAAATCAAGGTCTCCCATGGGGAGCCAGCAGAGTCTGGCACACTGAGCCTAGGCAGGTCCAAGCCCCTCCCCACTGCACCAAGACTGTGCAAGGCATCATACCACAGGCACTGGGCTCCCCAAAGCCTGCCCATGCACCAGGGACGGATTCCGACCCCCTGGAGACCTATTCTTAATTATAAATGCCCAGCCTTAGCTTGGCTTGTTGCTAGAGCTTTACTTAATTATTCCATCTACCTTTTGCCTCTGGGATTTTCCCATTCTCTTACTTCTATAAATCTTATTTTCTTACTCTGTTGCTGGCTGGGTGGCTGGGTGGCTGGGTGGCTGGCCCCTAGTGTCCTCTTCTCCTTGTTCTCTTGCTCTTTTCTTCTTTTTTTTCCTCCCAGAGCTCTCCTTCTATATATTCTCTCTGCCTGTCAGCCCTGCCTGTCCTTTTTCCTGCTTTGCTATTGGCCGCTCAGCTCTTTATTAGACCATCAGGTGTTTTAGACAGGTACAGTAATACAGCTTCACAGAGTTAAACAAATGCAACATAAACAAAAGTAACACACCTTAAAATAATATTCTGTAACATTCAGGTGCCCTCCTTAGTCACTCTCCGACTTACCTATCTTTTGAGACATCTGGTCTTTCCCTGAACTGGAACTGTTTCAGCTAAACTATCTTACAACAATTCCAGACCCTGCTGCCTCCATCTCCCTGGCATTGGGAATGTAGATGGATATCCCTCTCACCTGGACTTTTATGTGGGTGCTGGGGATCGAACTCCAGGGAGGTGTTATCACAGGAAAGGCCGGGAACCTGCAGATAAGCAGTTTCTCGATCTGTCACCCCTCTGTCCCTGTGATGGAAACAGGCAGTCCATGGAAGCTCAGCAGGACCCACCCAGCCCCGCCTTGGTAGTTCTTAGCCCTGGCATCATATTAGAATCACATCTGAGCTTTAGGGAATGGAAAAGGCACCCACAACCTGCCCCAGGCCAGTCAGACTCAGAATATTTGGGGGCAGACCCCAGACATGGACATCTTTAAATGTGCCTTCCAGTGATGGACAGCCATGGGGCTGAGCCCGAGCTTCTCACTTAGGTGTGCATCACTACCACTCAGTGGACTTGTTAGGAAGACCGACCTCTACCAGAAGACGTAACTTGGTAGCTCCTAAAGGCACTCAAGTTCCAAGCTGATGCTCCTAGCCCAACCACCACTGCAGGAATGCATTTCTATACTGCTCCTACAGATGTGCCCTGGCCTGGCTCTTCATACCCTGCAGGTTTCTTTCTTCCTTTTAAAAAAAAAATTATTTATTTTATATCCCAACATCAGTTCCCCCGCCTTCCTTTCCTCCCAGTCCCCCCTCCCACCTTCCTTCTGCCTGCCCCCAATCCTCTCTTCCTCCATTTCTATTCAGAAAAGGGCAGCTCTCCCATGGACATCAACAAAACAAGGCATATCAAGTTGCAGTAAGACAAAGCACCTCCTGGTATTAAAGCTGGACAAGGCAACCCAGTATGAGGAATAGGGTCCCAAAAGCCAGCAAAACAGTCAAATACAGCCCCCAACCCCACTGTTAGGAGACCCACAAGAAGATCAAGCTACACAACTGTCACATATATGCAGAAGGTGTAGGTAGATCCCATGCAGGCTCCCTGGTTGTTGGCTCAGGCTGTGAGTTGCTATGACCCAGGTTAGTTGATTCTGTGGATTTTCTTGTGATGTCCTTGACCCCTCAGGCTCTTACAATCTTTCCTCCCTCTCTTCAGCAAGGTTCCCTGAGCTCAGCCTAATGTTTGGCTGTGGGTCTCTGCATCTGTTTCCATCAGTTGCTGGATGCAGCCTCTCTGATGACAATTGGGCTAGGCACCAATCTGTGAGTATAGCAGAATGTCATTAGGCATCATGACACTGATATTTTTTTTTCTCTAGTCATGTTTGGTTCTATCCAGGTCTCTGGGCCATCCAGCCTCTGGGTCCTGGCCCTCCAGGCAGTGTCAGGGGTGGGCTCACTCTTGTGGCATGGGTCTCAGGCTGGACCAGTCATTGGTTGGCCACTCCCACAATCTCGGTGTCTTCCTTACCCCAGCACTTCCCATAGGCAGGACAGGCTGTAGGTCAAAGGTTATGTGGCTGGGTTGGTGTCCCACTCCCTCCACTGGAGGTCTTGCCTGGTCACAGGAGATGGCCAGTTCAGGCTGCATATCCCCTGGTGCTTGGAGTCTTAGCTGGGGTCATTAGATTCCTGGGAGTTTCCCTTGCACTAAGTTTCTACCTCACCCCAAATGCCCCCCCTTTCCAGTCATCTCTTTCAGTACTCTCTCCCTCCATCCCTCCCCCACCCGATCCCTCATGTTCCCAGCCCCAGCCCCCTCAGCACACCCTCCATCCTCCTGTGTGACTTTCTATGGTTGCTGCTTTTCTCTTGGATCCTCTTGGATCCTGCTCTGGCACCAAACACCATTGCCAGAGTTTCTGCCTTGGATGTATGCTTTTCCCCGTCAAGCTGAAGTGGACTGGGGTCCCTGCCTTGTACTGAGTCATCACACACTCACATCTTACTTGACAATCTTCCCACAAGACAGAGTCGTTAGGAAAATGTAGGAACTTTCTGGAGCTCCATGGTGGTGTCATTTCCTGGCTTCATGGTTAAAGTCCAGCTTTGTCCTCTATCTTGGAGCTCAGTTCTCTGACTCACAGAGTAAAGGAATTGGATGACATTGTTGCTAAGTTCCCTTCCACCTCTATAATAAAATAACTTGTTATCTTAAAAAGTGAGCAATTAGCTCACTTTACTGGTTCAGACTACATCCACCTCAGTGGAATAAAATGTACTAATGTTGGAGAAAGTAAAAACATGTACCCATAGCAATAAAAAAAATTATGAGCTTATTAAACATAGAGAGTGGTCATTTTTAAATGTCTGGGCTCATCTTCATGGTATGTAAGGGAAAGTAGTTTTGGCTGAGGCTGCTGAGTCAGGTCCCTCGACCCGTTGTTTGTGATTCCCGAGAACTGTGATCACATCTCAGCCTCTTGCCAAACACTGTGTATTGAGAAGGACCAAGGCCTACAAAACAGTGTGCACACAGTGACCTCATTTTCATATGCTGTTCCTACCTCCAGGGAGGGAAGTTGCCAGAAATCTACCCAAGGGCTGCCTGGCTGGTGATGCTAAGGTGACTTCAGGTGACATAGTTTTAGCTTTGATGGCTTTACTTCTGCCTGTAACAGGTGCTATTGTGCTTCAATAAGAAATGCACAATTATGACTGAGCAGGAAACGGAAACCCAGACATCTTCCCAGGGAGGCCCACCCCAGGTACTGAGGAGAAAAGCTTTCTCAGAACACTGTATTTCCAGACTAGCACACCATGAGTAGTTCGAGCCGTCGGGACTTTGCCCAGGTGTCATTTATCAGCCACCTGCACCTGTGTGCTGTCCATCACCATCAGCTAGGTGCAGCATCCATCTTCAATGTCCCAGGGAAAGCAGAGGGTCATTTTCTGTCTTCAGGCTTCTGTGCCTTGCACACACCTTGTTTGGGTATGGTAGACTCTCTGGTTTCAGTTGTTGTCTCAGCATGACTTTCTTGGCTCCTGGAATTGCTAGTTTCCACGATCAATACATGTAGAACATGTGAAAGTGTGGATATAACAGAGCCCATGTTCTTGCAGTCCTGTCAAATCCATGAAAAGAACAACCTCTCAAAGCCCCCAGGCAAGTTGGGGATGTGGGTCAATCCTATTCTGGTCCTCACAAACCTGCTTCAGCCGGCCTGTGCACACAGGAACAAGTCCTGCGGGGCTCCACAGAGCCAGCCCCTGTGGACACATGGATGTGTGAGCTCAACAAATGATGCTCCCTTTGGGACCCTGAAACTTTGGGTGGTTTGAAGTACCAGTGTCACTGTATAGAGAAGACTAAAGGCTTGGGCATGCTCAACAAGTGAATGGCCAAGGTTGACTATGTGTTTGTTTTACATACATTAAGAGAAAAGAGCCAGATTTGGAAAGACAGGTATCACATGCCTCAAGTCATATGAGGAATCTAGACTTATTTATACATTTATATAGAGCAAAAAGGTAGTTGTGTGACTACTGTGGAAGGGAGGAAGCAGGAAGAGGGGAGGGAAACAAGAGAAGGTAGTGGGCGTGAATATAAAGTAAATCCACGGTGTAGTCTATAAAAATGGCATAACAAAAACCACCATTCTGTACAGAATACATACTAATTACGAATATCTCTTTAAAGAAGAGATAGAAGTGAGGGCAGAGCTACAGAGGCTGCTGAAGATGTGTATGGACAAAAGTAAAAGCTACTGTAAACCAGACACTGAGGGTGATTTAAAGTAACCCTAATCTCATCATCTAGAGAGCACGAGGCACATCTTATTATAGGGCAACTTCTTGGTAATCACCGTCACCATCTTACAGACGAGGGAACAAGCAACTTTCCCAGATCAAACAGCTGCTGAGTGGTGAGTCTGCCTGGAAACCAAGCTTCTCTCATTTCAAATTCATCTGCTAGGCTGCTTCTACTGAAGCATTTATAATGGGAGTGTTATGTAGGTAGAGAGATGGAATGGGTGTAGTGTAGACAGAGGATGGGGTGGTGTGTAGTGTAGACAGAGGATGGGGTGGGGTGTAGTGTAGATAGGTGGCCAGCCTGAGACTGCTCCTCCATACCTGACTCATTCTCTGCCCAACAGATCATTGTTTTCTTAAACATTTGTCTTCTACATCCTAAAATCTGCTTGGCATGTTGGTTCACACCTTTACTCCCAGCACTCAGGAGGCAGAGGCAAATGTGAGTTTGAGGCCAGCCTGGTCTATAGAGTGAGTTCCAGGTCAGCCAGGACTATGTAGAGAGACTTTGCCTCAAAAACAAAAGCAAACAACCACAAAATCCACTGATGCTGAATACTGAGGGCATCATGCCAGGAGAAACAAGGCAATCAGGAAAAGCAAATACTGGGCTAGAGAGAAGGCGCAGTGGGCAGAGACACTTTCTGTGAACTCTGATGGCCTGAGTTCAATCCCTAGGGTGTGCATAGTGGAGAGAGAAGTGATGCCTG